TTGGCAAGCAAGTGAAATACAAATCTTATGAATTTTTCCTAAATACAGTTCATTCAGGGGATTATATCATCTTTAAAATTTAGAATATTTGTTCTTGTAGCAGGAATGGGAAAAGAGGGCAAGGGTGACTTTTACCTTTAATAGTACTGAAAGCTTTTTTTTTCTTTTTTGTTCTTATAACTGATACTGTGACACTTTCATATTTGATTATCCTTCTGAATCTTTTCCAAAACTCTTCCCTTAGAGATTACTTCCCAGAAAAAGCACATGGTGTTAACTATGTTTTCATTTTGGCTACATTTCATCCAATTATTTTCTGTGTTTTTAATTGAAAATTAAGAAAAAGCCAGTTGGAAAAGAGTGCTTGTGTACATAAAATAATTCTTAAGAGTCCGTTCAGACTTCTGATTACAGATATATAGCAGGCTAGGTCCCTTGATTGACCCTTCCATTGAAAATAATTAATACTGCTGGACAACATATTTATAAAGTACTTAAATGCATTGATGAGTAGGTGAATGTAATGAAAATAGGCCAAAAACTGGGTGAAGGAAGAAAGTCAGAGAGGGAAGTCAAGAAGGGAAGCCAGCTTTTATTTTGAAAGAACTTGCTGAATTTGGTGATCTGGAGAGTCTGTTCTTATAGTCACTAAAGTCTGAGGGAGGGGGACAAAGCTCAGGGACTGCCCAAGGTGAGGTGTCTGTTGGGACATACCCAACCTGTAGGGCTACTACCCTTTCAGCATAAAATGAGCTAAGAATGAGAGCTTTAACTTGATATAGGGTTTCTATGAAAGCCTACTTGGTAAAATGTTTTAGCACATTATTTAAGATTTAGAACAAGACAAGAGTTCCTGTTCTCATTTCTTTTCAGCGTAATATTGGATGTCCAATTCAGTGTTGTAAGGCAAGAAAAAGAAATATGAGATGTAACAATTGAGAACAATTATCACTCTATTTAGTGATAATATGATTGTGTATGTAGAAAACTCCAAGAATCTAAAGGCAAATTATTAAAATTAATGGTAGAGTTTAACAGTGTTGCTGGGCACAGATCAATTAAAAAAAGCAATTGTATTTCTATGTCATAACCAAATAGAAAATGTTTTTTTTTTAAAAACTTCAAAAATATAAAATACATAGAATAAATCTAATAAAAGCCATACTAGCTACCTTCCCCCTTGGAAGGTTCAGACTCAGTGTGGAAATCTCTCTCCCACTCAGAGTTTGCATCCTGATCATATTGCTACTAGAGATTTTTGTCCTCAGGAAAACCCCCATTCATCCTGCTTACCACTCACAGCTTTCAACTTTCCATTCCAGCTTTTGTTACTTTTTTAGGGAAGCAATTGGGTGGTACTTGGAGATTTCCCCCGATTCTTACCAAGCCTAGTGGAATGTTCCCCTTGAGTAACTAGTCTGCCATAGTGTAAGTTGAAACTCTCTAAGTGCATTTCTACTGCAAATAATAATAATATGAAAAATAGTAAAGTATATGTCTTTTAATCTTACAAGTAAAAACTTCACACTCTTATGTGTGATAGCGGTCATTTATTCAATAGCGATATCAATTATTTCTTCTGTGTGCCAAGTTAGTATGATGATTAGTAAAATATGGTTCCTTTCTCAGGGAGCTAATTTTTTCATGAAATGTTTCCCAAGCTTGTCTAGTCATAAGAATCACCTGTGATATCTTCAAAAGAAATGCAGCTATTTAGTATCCTTGTCTGGAGATTGTGATTCAGTAAGATGGGATCTGGAGCTGATATTTTATTTTATTTTATTTTATTTTCTATTTTTTACTTATTTTTTATTTTTCAAGAATCAGGCCCTTTTTCTTATACGTGCTCTGGCCAGACTCTAACAAAGGGCTGTTTGGCCATGATCCACATCAAGCTCAGCAGATGACGTATAGGTGAGCCCCTAACCCCTAAGAAGGCCAGCAGTGTACTGAAATTAGCACACCATTGAGTGGGTTCTTTGTATCAGAGAGACTAATCTACTAGTCTCCCTTTCAGATATTAACCAGTTTCATTGTTAGTATTTGCATTACTCCTCCTATATCTTAGACCCATTTATTAGTGAGGGGACCTCCTTCTTCTCTGGCTTCATGTGTCCATGTGGAGGAACTTCCTCCAGAAAACACTACATTTCTCTGTCTACCTTTCATTCATTCTCCCCGACTCATAACTGGTAAGATTATAAGAACTGGGTATGGTTCCCTCAGCCTCTTTCTCCCTTTTAGAGCCGGCCTGCCCTCCAGGTGGAGGTGTACTCACTGGAGCTGACATTTTAAACAAATGCTAAGTATGATTCTGATGATCAGGCAAATTTGGAAGATACTGATGTAATGCACTCTCTGCAGTTTTCTTCTAACTTTCCTTCTCTATTTGGACAAGCTATTTATATGTGAACGGTCATGTTTCCAGTGTCGTTAGGGAACCTAGCTTCTTTCCTAAAACATAAAGCCTGGCAATAAGGCAATAATTCATAATTTCCTTTATGCTACTATAAAAGTCACAGAGAGGTTAAATAGCATATTCAAGGTAGAAAGTGAGGGAGCTGTGATGTGTGCTTAGGTTGTCTGACTCCATAGCCAGACCACACCACCTTCTCATTAGACACTGTGCAGCCTTTCCAGGGATACCTCTAGGGATGGAGATCTCTTAACTTCAAAAAAGAGCCCTCTTTTATTGTTGGACACCTTTAATGTCTTCCTTGTAATGGACCAAAATCCTTCCTCCTTGTAACATTGATTTTAGGTCAGCCTTCTAGAGCAGAACTGCAACCCAAATTCATTGAAGTTCAGGCTCAGTATAAAGAAACAATTGATTTCATGTTTGCAACAATACTTGTCTGTTGGCCATAATTGGTCCAGTCTCTGGTTTCCTTTAGATTAGTATTAACTAGTTTAATTTCCTCTTCCATATAATAACCCTTCTCATGTTAGAGTGCAATATCATGTATTTAAGGTCAGTCTCCTTCCTTATCATCTTCTTCCTAGCCGAGAACAAACACTGTGTGTTCTTGGACAAGCTATTAAACCTTTTTGAGACTCAGTTTTTTCATCTGTAATTTATGGGTAATAATACTTATTGAATTGGTTTAAAGATTAAGTTATGTAACCTTATAATTAGTGTACAGGAATGCTAGAGATTTCTGTGCATTAATTTTGTATACTGCTACTTTACCAAATTCATTGCTAAGACAGTCTCTTCAATAAGTGGTGCTGGGAAAACTGGACAGCTACATGTAAAAGAATGAAATTAGAACACTCCCTAACACCATACACAAAAATAAACTCAAAAAGGATTAAAGACCTAAATGTAAGGCCAGACACTATAAAACTCTTAGAGGAAAACATAGACAGAACACTCTATGATATAAATCACAGCAAGATCCTTTTTGACCCACCTCCTAGAGGAATGGAAATAAAAACAAAAATAAACAAATGGGAGCTAATGAAACTTAAAAGCTTTTGCACAGCAAAGGAAACCATAAACAAGATGAAAAGACAACCCTCAGAATGGGAGAAAATATTTGCAAATGAAGCAACTGACAAAGGATTAATCTCTAAAATTTACAAGCAGCTCATGCAGCTCAATATCAAAAAAACAAACAATGCAATCCAGAAATGGGCAGAAGACCTAAATAGACATTTCTCCAAAGAAGACATACAGATTTCCAAGAAACACATGAAAGGATGTTCCACATCACTACTCATTAGAGAAATGCAAATCAGATCTACAATGAGGTATCACCTCACACCAGTCAGAATGTCCATCATCAAAAAATCTACAAACAATAAATGCTGGAGAAGGTGTGGAGAAAAGGGAACCCTCTTGCACTGTTGGTGGGAATGTAAATTGATACAGCCGCTATGGAGAACAGTATGGAGTTTCCTTAAAAAACTGAAGATAGAACTACCATGTGACCCAGCAATCCCACTACTGGGCATATACCCTGAGAAAACCATAATTCAAAAAGAGTCATGTACCACAATGTTCATTGCAGCTCTATTTACAATAGCCAGGACATGGAAGCAACCTAAGTGTCCATCGACAGATGAATGGATAAAGAAGATGTGGCACATATATACAATGGAATATTACTCTGCCATAAAAAGAAACGAAATTGAGCTATTTGTAGTGAGGTGGATGGACCTAGAGTCTGTCATACAGAGTGAAGTAAGTCAGAAAGAGAAAAAAAAATGCCTTATGCTAACACATATATATGGAATCTTAAAAAAAAAAAAAAAAAGGTTCTGAAGAACTTAGGGCAGGACAGGAATAAAGACGCAGACGTAGAGAATGGACTTGAGGACACGGAGAGGGGGAAGGGTAAGCTGGGACAAAGTGAGAGAGTGGCATGGACATATACACACTACCAAATGTAAAATTGATAGCTAGTGGGAAGCAGCCGCATAGCACGGGGAGATGAGCTCGGTGCTTTGTGACCACCTAGAAGGGTGGGATAGGGAGGGTGGGAGATGCAAGAGGGAAGAGATATGGGGATATATGTATATGTATAGCTGATTCACTTTGTTATAAAGCAGAAGCTAACACACCATTTTAAAGCAATTATACTCCAATAAAGATGTTAAAAAAAAAGATTAAGTTATGTAGGATTTTAGGTTTTCAATGAGAGGTAGTTTGTGTTATCTTTGTTGTACCTAAAGGTATGTATTTTAAGTATATTGCATGTATATAACTGCATCTGAATCTTTTATCATATATCGTATATAACTAAATTATTTCATCTAGCTTTTAAATCAAGGAAGAAGTAACTTACCTTACTGAAATAACTTGCTTTTAGAAAAACTTTAAAATTTTGTTTCTAATGGTTCTCATCCTTTTCTTAAATATGTTACTGTTTGATTTCTAAGATTAAAGCCATATTCTTTGAAAAGTGTTGATTAACTCTGAGAATTATATTTTCAAGCTTATAAGCATATTGACATTTCTCATACTATTATAAAAGTGATCTTATTTCTATTTTCAGTATTGCAGGGGGTCGGATACTCTCAGTGATAAAGATGCAGCTGATTAAAGGCCAGAACATCAGGGATCCTTTTTATAAAGCAATAGAGGAAGTTGCTCAAGATTTGGATTTGAGGATTAAAAGTATTATCAATTCTCAACAAGGAGACTTAGCTCTTAGTACCACTGACATCAGTCCTGCACGGGTAATGAGGTTTTTATTTTTCATTATCCTTCTGTACAAAACATTATATCTTCTACTTGCTGTAGAAATGGTTTACAATTGCTACTTAAGTCAGAAGAATGTGTTTACTCTGTTATAAGATGTTGAAAATATAAGTTTCTCAATAGATTATGCAGGATTATGTTCGACTTGGGTAAATCATAACCTCTATGGGCCAAATTGTCTCTGTTTGTTAAAGAAGCACATTGGATAATCTTCAGTATCCCTTGTAGCACTAGAAATTTATAGTTCTTGATGGATATTAAGGTGTTTTGTCATATTTTTCAATAATTATTTTTATAAAACAATTATTTTCCCATTTAATCAGGTATAAAATAAGAGTCTGGTGTCTCTAGTTATGACCCCAGTACTAGGCACTCCACAGAACAACAGCAGAAATAGTTTCTACTCAGCAGTTTATTTTTCTTTTATAGAATTTTTCTATTTCCATGATCTCTTATTTACTACCTCCATTGCCAGATTACTGCAGATATTAGGAATTTTTCCTATGCTTAGTAATTGTTTAATTATATATTCCAGAAAATTTACCTCTTTCTTGTTTTTCTTACATAGATAGTCTGACATTATAAGGTATTAAAACTATAGTTTCATAGGAGAAATTGACTACCATGTCTTTAGTTCTAGAACAGAATTTTGGGGTACATGTTATAGTAATTCATTTGTTGCAGTTTAATTGTTCAGGTAACAAAATCCCCTTTTTATTAGGTATAATTGTGATAGCCCGTGTATGAAGAAAGACTTTTGCTTAATTTTTATGATTCACTTATTTTTCTGCAGCCCTCGGGCACTATTTTTAGCTATTTTCTATAACAATGCGTGTTTTTAGTTTAACTTGAAGGCGGGACATGGGGGAGATTCTGAGTTATTTCCCCACATATTTCATGTGTGTTAACACTTCCTATGACAGCTTGGCTCAAATGACAACCAGGTTTTATTATAAGTATAAATCAGGAACTGTCACAGCTCAGATAATTAAGAGCGCCCAATCTCTCCCATTTCCTGTCACAAGAAATAAAGATGCAGACAACCTGGTTCTTAATTTTATGTTTTCAACCAAATTAGACATCTTTGAAAAATACGAATCAGTAATTCTCAATGAAGTTAGTATTAAACAGTATGGACTTCTCTGGTACTAATGAAAAATATATGTCAAGCACTAGATTGTGATAGACAATTTGTTAAAATTCTGGTGTAGCTATACATTACAGTTCACTTGGTAGCCTGAGTCAGCCAAGTAGAGAAAGGAGGCCAAGACCATGTTGATGAAACCTGAGGAAAGTGGTACAACTATAACAGATGTCCTCAAAAGGGCGACTCTGATATTTAAGCAAAATGTCCAACAACCCTATGGGTTAGGCACTATCATCCCTATTTTACCAATGATTTAACTGAAGCACAGTGAGGTTAAGCAACTTTCCCAGAGGTATACAGCACATACAACTGATTAGTTGGTATGAACCCGATCAGAAATGCCATCAGAGTTTGTTCTTACGTGTGTCTATGTGTAATACTATCTTATCATATATTTTCCCTATTCTTCTATCTAGTTACTAAGTTTTTCCAGCTCTTCCCTTTTAATCTGCTTTTTCTTTATCTCCACAGCTACTATTTTAGTTCACTGCTACTACCTTCTTCATTTCTGAGCTGGACTATTACAGTCTCTTAATTTGTGGTCCTGTCTCCAGATTTAATAACAGTCTTACCCTGGAATATAAATATTTTACACATTTCCATCATTGCTGTCATTTTTCTAAAATGTAAATAGTATCATTTTATTTCCTTGCTTAATAAAGGAAGAGATTTTAACCTTGTAACAGATTGACTTATAACTTCTTTGTCTGATATACAATGCTTTCCCAGGCTCATCTCAATGACTCCCTGTCTGTTACGCTGATCTTCAGCCATTTCATGCCATGTAGTCTCTGAAAATACCATGTTCTCTCTTACCCTTTTGTGTCTCCTCTATGAAGCCATCCTTGATCCCAGGGTAAATTGATCATGACCTTTGGGTGTGCTCCCACCGCACAATTTATACATTCTCTTCGAAATAGCACTTAGGGGACTTCCCTGGTGGCGCAATGGTTAAGAATCCGCCTGCCAATGCAGGGGACACGAGTTCGATCCCTGGTCCGCAAAGATCCCACATGCCACGGAGCAACTAAGCCTGTGTGCCACAACTACTGAAGCCGGCACGCCTAGAGCCGGTGCTCCACAACAAGAGAAGCCCGCGCACTCCAATGAAGAGTAGCCCCCACTCGCTGTAACTAGAGAAAGCCCGCACACAGCAACGAACACCCAATGCAGCCAAAAATAAATAAATAAATAAATGAATAAATAAATAAATAAATAAATAAATATATTTAAGAAAAGGAAATAACACTTAGCACTCTGTAATGCCATTATTGGTTACTTATTTATTTTATAAAAGAGCCTACGGGTTCCTTGAGACACTAGTTTTTACCTTTGTAGCCTTAGCTTCAAATGCAATTCTTGGGACTTAGTATGTGCTTATGGGTGATTACTGAATGAATGAAGGTCAACTAGTTTTTTTATTTTTGCATTTGAGTAGATCTGTACAGCCATCTGTGGGGTTGGTATTCAGATCACCAGAATCTCACTTCTGGTATAAGAGAGAAAAAATATCAGTATACAAAGAAGTTAAGTCACGAGGCTGAGATCACATAGATTGTAGCTAAACTTTCTGACTTATAAAGACTAATGTTATTTTGACCAAAATCTAATGTCTTCCTTTGATGATACTATTTTCTATATTTTTTGTGCTTCTGGAAGTTCATAAGATTGATTTTATTATGGCTTGAGGGATAAATATTCACATGCCGTAGAGCCACTTCTCGTGGCTGATTTTTTTATAGCTTAATAGAAGAGGAAGAACAATAGCACATGAAATGGAAAAGAGTGGCTGATTGACCCAGCTGGGGTGATTGTCACATTTATTTGAAATTGTTTCCTGTTCTAGCCAAAATCTCATGCCATAAACCATGGCACTGCATACTGTGGCAGAGATACTGTGAAAACTTTACTAGTTCTTTTGGATGAAGAAGCAGCCAGTGCTCCTACCAAAAACAAAGCAGAGCTTTTATATGACGATGAAAACACAATTCATCATAATGGAACTTCTATTCTTACACTTTTTAGGTAAGTAATGTGGAAGTTATATGTATGTGAATATTAACTTAAGTCTATAAAGGAAATTTTTGAAAAAAACACCTCATTTGTTATAAAAGAAATACATGCTATGGATAGGAAAGTTGGGAACTACAGAAAAGTGTGAAGAGAAAAAATAAAAGTTAGTTAAAGGGAGATTGAACATTTGAATGTGAGGGAGTTATATATAAAAGTAGTATTTTGTGAGAGTATGAGTGGTGGTTTTTGTTTTTGTGTTCTTGTTTTTTGCTGTGGAAATATTTGCATAGATATTTGTGTCAAAAACTTTGCTAAATGCTTTCACTTATATCAGCCCTCACAGCAGTCTCTTTTAGTAGTCTCCCCAATTTATAAGTGAAGAATTAGAGACTTGAGAGAGATAGCAAGCAATTTGTCTAAGTTGGCAAGCAGCAAAGGTGTCTTTCTTTAGAACCTGAGGTCTCTGCTCCAAAGATTGTGCTATTTTGCTTGAGAATAGGAGAGTCGGTATACACTAGACTTACACTGGAATTGACATTTACTTGTTCTTCATCGCATTATGAAGAAAATACTAAATTACTGTTGGTATTCTGTGCAAGACATTGATACTCACCAATTTTAACAACAATTCGGTCAAACACTGAGTTGGTGATATTTTTAATTAATGAACATTCATTTATAGAAACATTTAAAATTTTAGAATAACGGTTTAAAATTGTATTATTACATTGCGGAGGATTTTTAAAAAATTGTCCTGTTTGATCTTTTCTATTTTCTGCTTGAGCCACTTTCTAGAAATCTGATTTTAGTCTAAAATTGTTCATATCTATCTATGATTGCTTTACCTTCTCTCTCTCTCTCTCCTGTGCTTCACTATCTTTTCTCTTTAAAGAGAAACTTTATAATGCTCTATCATTCAGTGTTGTCTTCTAATTCCTTTGCAATGAAAATTTATTTTATCAATGATTTACTTATACCCTGTGTTGGAATCCCAGAAAAGAGTTAAAGAAAATGAACCTTTGTTTTTTTTCCTCCTGTCAACTTACTTCTGTTTAACAAAGTTTGCTTTTAGGTAGAAATATAAATGATTTAGATTTTCTCTTAGATTGAATTCTGTCATTTTCTTAGAGAAAGTTATTTTGTGTTTGTAGGATTTTCTAAATAAAATTAATCCCCACATACATTTTAAAGAGGTATTTTTCTATACTCAATTATGTGGCCAAACACGTTTATAGTTACCTTAGCATTTTCAATTGTCATTGTGCAGACAAGTACCAGTCCATGGTAAAGTATATTTTTAAGGGTCTGCATTGAAATGATAAAATTAAGGACAATGTATATGAATGTAAGTCAATGTAGGGTTATAAACTAGTCTTTCTTAGAATAGACTATCCCTTATTCTTTTTATAAAAAATAAATGTACTTATTTAATTTATTTATTTTTGGCTGCATTGGGTCTTTGTTGCTGCGCACGGGCTTTCTCTAGTTGTGGCAAGCGGGGGCTACTCTTTGTTGCAGTGCATGGGCTTCTCATTGCGATGGCTTCTCTTGTTTCAGAGCATGGGCTCTAGGCACACGGGCTTCAGTAGTTGTGGCATGCAGGCTCAGTAGTTGTGGCTTGCAGGCTCTAGAGTGCAGGCTCAGTAGTTGTGGCACACGGGCTTAGCTGTTCCCCGGCATGTGGGATCTTCCTGGACCAGGGCTTGAACCCGTGTCACCTGCATTGGCAGGCGGATTCTTAACCACTGTGCCACCAGGGGAGCCCCCTTTATTCTTATGTAATGGTCTTTTGACACAAAGGGGTTATGACTCTGGCTCTATTAAGCTAAAAAGGAATTTACTGAGGAATCCATGTTTGGCTCCAAATTGCCAGTATCTCCTTCTCTATCATGTCTTCTCTGACCCTCCTATTTCTAAACTACGCTTTTCTCTTTCGAATTTCCCTGCCATGGCATCTGTCTTCTTTTATTTTGAATTTTAGTTATGTTCCCTTACTTAGATCAAGATACCTGAATTCAGAGCCAGTGAATGAATGAACTTTCTATTCTTCACAACATCTTATACAGTGCCTTACATATAGTAGAAGCTCAAATATTTAGTGGCTGAATTAATTAATTAAGCAAATTATTAGTATTTAGAACTCTCAGAATAGGAATATGGACACTTTTAAATAGTATTGTAAACAACTAGGTTCAGTTGTTCAGAATAAACTTTCATTCTCTAACTGCTTTTGGATAGCGGAGAGGTGTAAACTAGTTTAAAAGCTACTTTGGTTTATAAACTTTTGCTTTTTTTGGACTAGATCTCCCACACAAGTGAATAATTCATCGATGAAACCCCTAAGGGAACGTATCCATATGTCAGTGCAAGAGAAAACAATTAAGGTACAATTTAATATACTGTCATGAAAATGATAAAAATCAGTTTACTTTTAGAAGAATAAATATATAAAGCTGAGCTGGGTATTATAAACATACATTATACATGGAACAATAGAGATTAAATGGAAAATAAGTTATGACGGTTGACACACAGAAACTTTCCTTTTAATACAATCTTGGCTAATCTGTCTCTGGTTTATTCAATACCTTGGACCTAAAAGAAGGAAAGGAATAAGCACCTGCTATGGTAAGTGTTCAATAAATATGTGTTCAGTGAATGAGGGGGAAAATAAAGAGGAGATGGTTTTCTCATTTACATTTCTAATATCTTAAACTGAATCTTGAGAGTCCATATAATTTCAGTTTTGTTCCCATCTGAAGACATAATGGCAGAATATAATTGATTTTGGATTGAGACAAGGAGAACATTTCACATTGTTCATTGACTAGAGCTATTCTTTATATTTTCACTTGGTTTGAACTGAGTATCCCAGTTCTCATTTGAAACATTTGTGCCTATAAGTAGTCAGTAACATGTTTTTAGGCACTTAAATTTTTCTTGGTCTTATTTTTCAAAAAAGAAGCTTGTTTTTAACTCATTGATTTATTCAGCATACTTTTATTGGATATCTGCTATGTGCCAGACACTGTTCTATGGTTGGGAATTCATTCATTTGTTCAACAAAATTTTCATGTAAAATTTACAATTATCCTTAAATTATCAAATAATTATTCATCTTTTGATATAACTTTGAGAACTCTAATTTGTTCTTTATATTCCCATTTGGAAAGTTAGTCCCAATTAGCAAAGCCTTTAGTTATCTGTTTCTTCTACATACCCCAAATCCATTTAGTTTATTTAGATTAATAAGTCTTATCTTCCTATTGGTTATTAGTAGCTGTTAGTAGTTAACATCTATGGAATACATCATTGATTTTTATATAATTTTTCTGTGAAAAAACTTGTCAATTCTTTGTTATATTAACCTAAGTACTTGTAGTCGAGGTGTAAGATTTTTGAAAAAAACACCTATCCTTTGGACTTGATTAGAAACGGAAATGTAACAGATTCTTTAATTTTTCCCTGCTATGGCTACTGACAAACTTTAATATTTTCATTTAAAAATCATTGGGAGATGCAAGAGGAAGGGGATATGGGGATATATGTATACATATAGCTGATTCACTTTGTTATACAGCAGAAACTAACACAACATTGTAAGGCAATTATACTCCAATAAAGATGTTAAAAAAAATTCAAGTAATACCATTAAACAGTGAAGTAGATATCTGTAAACTACTTAGAAAATTGTCTGAAACCTAATAGATTAACGATAAAAGTTATCTTCCTGTGCAATCTTCTATATGTAATAAATTCAGGTAAAAAGTAAAAAAATAAAGATCATTGGGATATTTTGTTAAACTAAGTAAATCAAAATGAAAAGATCTGTCTGAATAATGAGAAGGTGTTTTTAGAAATTGGTAAGAGTCAACTAATTACTGTAAAATTTATGAACCAATTTGTAAAGTTTTGGGAGGTAGAAGAGACAGTATCTGATCCAGTCTCATTTATAGATGAGGAGATCAAAATCCTTGAGAAAGCACCTTATCCAAGATATCATAACTACCAGGAAATATTTTATGCCATTGTGCAAAGCCATGGATAAATACTAATAAGACTATAATTACATTGCTTCTGTTACTTAATAGTGGAGCTGGCTTACTCCACGTAGCTCTGAAACTAAATGGCAATAGAGAAAGGAAGGAATTGGTGTTTATGGTTATATTTTATAGTACAGTACTCTTTATGAAAGCAAAGTGTGAAAATAATTGGTTTAGCCAGGTATACAGCTGAACCATGGCCAGATCGAGTACTTGCTGGAATAACAAAAAATGGTGCTAATATTTACTACTAAGTAACTATGGAAAAGTAGTTTAACAGCTTTTAACCTTATTATCCTGTTACTTTTTCTCTTTTGGCATTTAATTCTCTTTTTTATCATGGAAAGGATATATGATCTACACTTGAAAAACTGTCTTGGAAAGACAAAGGTAGATACTGTTAGAAAACTTAAAATTTTGATGTTGTAGATCATACTTGATTGTGAAATATCCATGTCATTATTATTTGCGGCAAATTAACTTTTCTTGGATTTTCATTTCCTTGTTCATAAATAGAAATAGGCACTCCTGATCCCCAAATCCTATGAAACCACTTTGGAAAGTGTTCATTAACTCATTTGAAATGCTCAAGTTTTATTTTCTACTGTAGCTTATTTGGAAAATTGTCTATGATGGTCAAATAAATTCCCCTGGGAAGGAAATTAGAAGGTTCTTCCTGAACCTTCATGGATTTGGTAGGAGCCTTTAGAGAATGCTTTCTTCCCATTCTTACCCCAGTTTCCAAGCGATTTATACAAGTACCTTCATACGTTTTTATTATAAGATCTTTCCAGGAGACATTTACCTTATTAGGTCCCTGTAAATTAATTAGTTTTATTCCTTCCAGCTTGATTTAGCCATATTTTGCTTTTCAGACACAACTGAAAAGTTGTATATACATATCTTTTTCCTTATTCTGAGTCTAGTGTTTTCCTCCATATTATATGTATGTCCGAATAATCATCACCGTTAACTAACAATAACTTAAGTCAGTGGATCAGAAAAATGCTAGATCTTTAAAAGTCGACGTAGTTGGGACAGTGAAAATTAGGACATAGGTAGTTGGAAAAAATAGACTGGCTCTAACTCTGGTACCTATTATAAGCAGCGAGGCAGTACAATGCTCATGGTGTTGGAAAATTAGATATCCATGTTTAACCTTTAGGGTATTCCAAAACTGAGTATATCCAAATAAAATGGTATATTGAGTTCAATTAGAATTTCCTTCCCCTAATACTTAAAATGAGTACAAAATAGCAATAACTAGCAAAAATATTCACCAAGAGCAAACAACAGAAAATAATTTAATTGGATACAATAAATTTCAGAAACGATGGCCAAGAAAGGAAAGAAGATTTCAGAGGGAAAAGGCACGACATGATTTAGCAACTTAATCTAGCCCCAGTCTCCACATAGTGTGCTAGTGAGTTGACAAAGTCCTGAGAATTATCACTAAAATATTTCCAAAACTGAGAAGCCAACTGTGTGTTCTTTTTTTTTTTTCTTTTTAGAGAAATAGTAGAAGTGGCAACTACATAGTAATGTGGAAAATGAACTCTGGGATTTACACATTGACACAGTGAAGGCTCTAGTGCTGCATACTGAATTGTGGAAATTATCCAAATGATCCCCTTGCATTTGAATGAAATACAGCCTCTAAATAGAGGGACTTTTTATGGTACATATAATACATAATAAATTCTTAGAAGAAAGTGAGGAACCAACCCAGAAATTTTTTCAGATTGCCTATCTCCTCAACTGAATGTTACTTTTGCCTCCACCCTTCTTCAGGCTACAGAAAAATGGGGGATAACAGAAAATATGCAGCCTTCAAAATGTAACTGAGGAGCAAGTAAAATGCTGTCAAATAAGGAGGAAACAGAATCAAGAAACCACTCACAGGCTTGGAGGCTTCTGTTTCTAACTAGGATGTAGTAGATCATGGCAAAATACCATTTCTGCTACAGTAACAAAATAAAAGGCAGATAAGTTGGGGAAAATATTTTAAAAGACATAAGAAAGCTATGTAAGCAAAACAGTTTAAATAAACTAAAAATCTGGAGAGGGTAAAGTTCTTCTGAGGTGAACAGACTATTATCAGAGTTTTCTTCCCTGGGATTATTTTTCCAATTTTCGGTATGAGCCAAGGATTGATCTTGGCCCATGTAAAGGAACTCACTGACGGAAAGAGGAACTAACAGATATTTTGATGTCTTGAGGGGCTGGCAACAATTTGGAAACTTTGGGGCCCTGAATGCACAGTTATTTTTACCTACGGCACCTATGCTGAATTTTGGAGCTGAGTGGGAGGTTAAGGAACCTCAATCCAGTATACTAAAATCACCTGTAGTCTTGCAGTAGCACAGAAGACAAGGCTCCTCTTGAGGAGTGTGACCTGGCTCAAACGCGTGGCTGTTGCCTTCTCAAGATATTTGCCACGTTTGGAAGTGAAGAGGGTTGGGAGACCGAAGAATACAATGTAAAGACCTTTGAAAGACAGACTGAATCCCCCAGAGTTTCAGGTCAGAGGTGATAGAGATCCACAAGGCTCTCAGTTGAAAGCTTGGGAGGGACATTCCCAAAGGAGAGGTTAAGAACCAGAAGTCAAGTATGAGTTATGACAGCTGCAACCCAGCTTTGACTCAGGTCAGTCCCTGTCGGCATTGCGGTTATCAGCCCCTCTCTGTGTCTGCCTAACAGAGACAAGGGAAACCCTTGATAGAAGATTTCATCTGGAGCCTCTATAGTTCCTTTATATACTGGACATGAGAAGAGACAGGAAGACTTGTCCTTTAATCAAGAGAAAAAACTAACAATAGAGGCAGACTCACAAATGACCCAGCTACTGGAATCAGCTGACAAGGAATTAAATTTTTTTTTTTTTTAACATTTAAAGGTAATTAGGGCTTCCCTGGTGGTGCAGTGGTTGGGAGTCCGCCTGCTGATGCAGGGGATGCGGGTTTGTGCCACGGTCCGGGAGGATCCCACGTGCCGCGGAGTGGCTGGGCCCGTGGGCTGTGGCCGCTGGGCCTGCACGTCCAGAGCCTGTGCTCCGCGGCGGGAGAGGCCACAACAGTGGGGCCCACGTACCACAAAAAAAAAAAAAAAAAAAAGGTAATTAAAGGAAAAGGGCAAAATGGATGAAAAATTGGGAAATTCCAACAGAGAATCAATTTTTTTATTTTTTGGCAAGCTGCACAGCTTGCGGGATCTCAGTTCCCTGACCAGGGATTGAACCTGGGCCATGGCAGTTAAATTGCCAAATCCTAACCACTAGACCACCGGGAACTCCCAAGAATCAAAAATTTTAAATCAGAACCAAATGGACATTGCAGAACTGT